TTTCTCACTTTCTCACTCTTTCACTCTGTCTCTCTAGTGAGTGCACACACCCTCTGGCAGTTAAATAAAAAGTTCTTTCTGGGGACCAGGGATGGCATAGTGATTATGTCACTAGATTCCCACATGGCTGACTGCAGTCTGAGTCCCAGACCTAGATGCTTGAAATTCATGGTGTGTGGGCATGCATGTCCCAAATCCCAAGAGGAGAATTGAGGAGAAGGGATTGCAGCATGGCGAATCCCCCGTCTGGGGTGATTTCTTGCTTTCTGTTTCTCTGGTGAACCCACCTGCCCTATAGCAAAAATCTCTCTTTAAAAAAAAGTTCTTTCCCTTTATATAATAAAAGATATAATGGAATAGAAAGTCCCATTTAAAAGAGCAATAACTAATGAGAAATGTAAAATGTATATGAATATACCTACATGAGAAATGTATAAAACCCATATGAGGAAAACTTTAAAACAGACTGCAAGACAAAAATTAAAGCATGAATAAGTGAAATAATACACTACATTTGTAATATCATAATGTTTTAAAGAACTTAACATCATAAATATTTAAATACTCCAAATGTTACCTTATAAATGGAAATGCAACCTTAGTGAAAATACCAAAAGGGTTTTTTTCTTTGTTCATTTGTTTATTTTTTAGGCAAGATGATTCTAAAGTTCACCTGGGAAATACATGAGGCTAGCTTAAGAAAGCAGTGAAGGGAAACAGTCCTTTTAAAAAATTAAAGACATATTATAAAGTTTCAATAATTCAAACATCGTGGGACTGGCTCATGAGTGGAAGGTCAACCATTGGAACAAAGCAGAAAGTCCAGAAATAGGGCTATATTCTTTGGGCATTTAGTATATCATAAATCTGAGGGCAAGAATAGACTTTTGAAATGAATGATATTGGGAAAACTAAACAGCCTTCTTGGTAAAGATCACATTGAAACCACGGTCCACATCATTTACCAGGATAAATTCTAACAGGATCAGAAAATTTAAATGTGAAAATTTTTAAAACATGAAAGTATTTGAAGAAACAAAATGTCCTTTATACCCTTGGAATAAAGAGGCTAAAACTCAAAATTCAGAAACCATGAAAGAAAAAATTCATAAGTGGTCAAAAAAACATTTTGTAAAGTCAATAGAAAAATTATTGTAGTTCATCCCAGTAATATATAAAGATTTCTGAGAAAATGCAGGGACAGGGGAGGGACAGATCAAAAAATGGGCAGAGGACATCAACAGTTTTTAGAAAAGGAAATATAAAAGCGCCTTAAATATATAAAAATATATTTAACCCTACTTATAATGAGAGAAATGCACATTTAAATTACACTGAGATGTTGTTTCTCGCTTTTCAGATGAGCAAAACCATAAAACATAGACTGAATTTTCCTGATAAGGCTATAGGGAAGCATTTCCACTCCTTCATTACTGAAAAGAATAGAAATAGACAGGATATATCTTTTTGTACTGGTATGACTTAGAATTGTATGTGTATATTGCCTACTACATGAAAAAAGGATGCCTGTGTTGCAAAATGATGTATCAATATAATACCATTTGTGTGAATTTTTCAAACAGAAAATGTAGATTGTGGCACATACGTAAACAATGAAAAGTACAAAATGGTATATGGGAAGGGCAAAGGATAGAGGATGTGACTATATTTTATTTCTTAAAAATAAAAGACCTGAGGCATAGCTTGCAAAATAGCCTGTTTAAATATTGATAACATGTGAGAAGGTGTCTGTTATGAAATGTTTTATAACTTTTAAAAATTAAAGATAAACAGTGCTCCTGTGTGATAACCAAGAATTGCTCCCAAACATTCCAAAGTTCTCCGATCTTTCTTATAGTTACATAGTTACTTACATAAACGTTCGGTAAAAATGGGACTGGTCTCCTTTCAAAGCACCTGACTAATTTTCTTCAAATTACGGAAACAGAATTCTCATGGACCTCCTTTTCTTTTCTTTTCTTTTTCTTTTTCTTTTTTTTTTTTTTTTTTTTTTTTTTTTGGGTTTTTTTTCTTTATGGGG